AGACGTGCATGGAGGACGTTTGTCCAGACCTTGAGCAAGTCCCCTGATACATTTCAACTAATCCCCCTCATGAAGTATGACACTGAACTGAGAGCCTCAAACGTTGCAGAGCTGGGTTATTCCAGGGCTGGGGGCAGTTGATCATGTAGGTGAGTTAAGTTTACATGGTGCATGTAGTGAATTTTCTATTTGCTACAGCAGGGAAGCCCAGCGTGGGCTCACGTCTAGTACGGATTGTCCAAGTACCTAATTGCAGGACCTCCTTCTCCTTATCCCGAGACTCTGTAATAGGGAAGAGAAAAATGTTAGAGGTAGAGACAGGCTCTGTGCCCCATAACAACTGGGGTTAGCTACAGACCCCACAGCCACACTGCTGCCCCAGTGTGGGTTCAACTGGAGTGGGGCTGGCAGTGTGAGATACGCACCAACAGGCAGGAAACTCGGGATTGGCAAAGCATCTAACCATGATGGCAGACGTAGGTCTGGATCCCAACATAGCTCTGACATTCCCAGCCCTTCTGTCTCAGGGGAATTGTCTGTGTAACTAACAGCCCTTCGGAGCATCAGAGCTCTGCACTCCGGGTGTGATGGGGGGTGGAAGCGCTGATGACTGGAGCTCAGAGCTGAGATCTGGCTTTGGTAACATAGCACAGAAACAAGAGTCAGGGTCCAGTCTCTTGCTCAGCTCAGTGTTCAGGAGAGTGGCCCAGCAGTGCCCATAGTGCTGGAGGCGCTGATGACTGGAGCTCAGAGCTGAGATCTGGCTTTGGTAACATAGCACAGAAACAAGAGTCAGGGTCCAGTCTCTTGCTCAGCTCAGTGTTCAGGAGAGTGGCCCAGCAGTGCCCATAGTGCTGGAGGAGATGGGGGAGCCTGGGCCCCTAACCTCCAGCCCCTTCCCCTAGGCTCTCCTCCATGCTCTTCCACAGTCTAACTCAATTCCCCTCCAGCCCTGCCCCCGCAGTCAGGGCAGCATTCCACCTTCCTTTGTTCCTCTCCATGGGGGGTGTCTGGCCACTGGTTCAACCAGTTTGGCCTTATCTCTGCCTAGCCAGGTTTTCCCTGCTGGGTCTTGCTCCAGACAGCAGGGGTCACCACAGCCCAGCAATTACCCCCACTACGTCACAGTTCTCCCCCCTCCGAGAGCGAACTGAGCACGGTCACTCCGCTCGTGACCTAGGGAAGTTCGGGTCCTCTGCGTGGGAACCCGCCC